GAGATTCAAAATAGTAACCTTTTCATAAAACTCAATGCAACAGTTCATACTGTGCCACGACCCCACTGTGCTACCGTTTTTTTTCAAGTGCTAACATACGTAATTAACTAGCTTATTTCTTAGATAATGACGTAATTAAGAAAATGACTAGTCAATAACAACTTTTGGACCAGTATTTTGGAAATTATTAACATGCTATAAAAAAGGTTCTTCGCTAGCCATTTCAAGGCTGTACTCGTCTTACCACCAAGGTATAGAAATGCTAATAACATCTGAAGTACTATTTCAAAAGTTGTCATCGAACAGCAATCTTTGTAATTAGACCATTATCTTTTAAATAATCTAGTCAGTTATGTATGATGTTATATTAAAAATAAAGTGACACCCTTATAATGTATAACGGATGAACAAAAAGTACTTAATCATTGATAAATTTAGAAAAACATGTACCTAAAAGATATAAAAAATATAATAAAATAAAAGATCAAAAAATAAAATATAATAATTATTTTTATTTTTCGATTATTTAAATGATTCATGATAAATGAATTATTTAGTACAGGTGTTCAAACATTTTAAAAATAAGTTAATTGTTACCAAAAATGGGAAATGCGGAATCCCTTTATCTTACTTATTAAATAGCCAATATAATGTTGTCAAATTCAAAGAATACATTCCACGTCTAACTCACATTTTTCAAACAGATAAAATCAATTATTATGTGTTCAAGTCATATACCAATTATTCAATTAATTAATTAAAAATAAAAAAACAACAAGATAAATAAGATAATATAATAAATAATAATAATTCTATACACTTTTTTTCTAGATACAATTAGTTAAACAAAGACAGAATAACGCTACTTCAAAATAAAATGCAAAACCAAATTCCAGAGAAATTTATTTTAAACGATCGAAGATTCTAAGTTTGCATTTTGAACTTAATCCATTCAATCTGACTGCTAATCCCAATTTCAAGTTTTATCATCTCATTTATACTCTATTATTATTAGTGGAATTTATTGTAATCAATTGCTATGTTTTTATTGGTTTTTACTATGTAAAAAACGATTTTATTTCAGCTACACAATTATCTATATGTATCATATCCGGTATTCAAATATATCTAAACACCTATAGAATATCTAAAAAATATCGTGAATTAAGAAAATTATTAGATGCAACGAGTAGCTACTTTCTGTTTTCTAATAATAAAGCAAAATATATATTTAAACACAACGAATCTATGTGTACTAAAATAATAAATATATACTTTTTTATGTATATTTTGGCGTGTTTAGTTTGGTTCCTCAGTCCATTACTTATAAAAGAATATCCTCTAAAAAGAAGAGACGGCACTTTGGTAATTTATCATAACAACATCCTAAATTCATTCTTAAGTTTTATACCCATTTCGGTTTATGAGCAAATTTATCCAATTGTTTATCTATTGGAAGCTTTAGAATTAGTACATCTTTGTTTTGAATTATTTTTCTACTATACAATAGTTGTATATTTTTGTTGGATGTTATCAGCTCAACTGAAAATAATAGCGTTTGAATTCGAATCATATGGATATGAAAATGTTGAATTAGGTACGTGTGAAATTATTATAATTAATCTTTATTTCTTCAATATTTTTTGATAACATAGTAGGAAAACATATTTTTTTCAATACTAGTAAGATTTTAAATTAATTACCTATTTTCCAAATAGAACAGAAAAACGACTCTTACTACATGAAAAATTTAAATCAAATATTTTTGGATCAGATAAAGATAAACGTGTAAGTCGATAAAAATATTTTATATCAAGGTGACTACAATCATTGTAATCTTTTTTATACTTAACACTTATTTTTATGTATTGTTAAAATGATACATTAATTCTTATCATCATATTATGAACACAGTTTTTTAAAACACATTTTATAATGTTATTCATAACATGGATGATAATCCAATAACTAATTCGATACTACATTTTTATTAATCATTATTATTCTTATTAGTTCAATTAAGAAGTTTCATGAAATAATGAAACCGATGACGTTGTTTATATATGTATACTGTTTAAATATTTTAAATGCTTTCATATATGTGTGTATATTGGTATGTATTTTTAAAATTAGCAATCAAGTGATTTTCATAATTTGATGAGAAATTTGTTTGTAGATTTACTTTAAAAATGACGGTGTATTATCAGTTACTTATGTGAAAATATTGTTAGGAATATCAGTGGTTATGATCGATTTGTTTGTTATAAGCTATTTTTATGGTCATCTTGAAAATCAAGTAAATTATATTTTGACAGTAGTTAGTACATTTTAATTACATTTTGACTAAAAATTTATATAAATATTCCATTTATGGCATACTAAAATATTTATAAAAACAAGTTCCTATCAAATATATACGAATAAAGTATGTCCTTCAAATAAATGTACAAAACAGTAAAGTGCAAAAAGTATAATAAACAAACATAGTTTAAATGAATTTTAATAATATTTAATAAAATATTTTACTCTGTAGCTACATTTAAATATTATATGTTATAACAGTGTACTATGTATTACTACTAAACTCTTGTTTATTTTGTGTTATTTTGTAGTTATCTCGAAAATCAAGTTGACTAATTAACTATTTTAATTGAAATAGTTTTATTATTGGGATATTATCTACTTAATACAATTTTTGATTGTGCCACATCAATAATGTAATTGAATTAATTGGATAATGATAGTAGGCAGAACGTTTTGATGTAATTTTTACTTAAATATTATATAAATACTTAATTAATGACGTTTTTACGTGTTTGTAAAAAAAATTTTAGAGAGTTCTTTTCAAAAATGTATTAACGAATAAAATACATCCTTTGTTAAAGTATGCATCAGAAAATAAGAGCAAAGATCTATAAAAAAATAAACATCATTTGTTCATTTTACCTATGGTCCTTGAAGTCATAATTTTAATAAGAACAGAAACAATTTGTCTATTAAAATATACAGTCATTATTTTATTCAATTTTTATATATTTAATTATATTATCAAAGTTACTATGACACTCAAAGTCATAATAATATCCCAAAATCTGTCTATCTTCTATGGAAAGACCATATCTATCCCTAACACTTTTATAATTACCATTCATGGCTTTATACGTGGAATCGTAGTACTCATTATTTTTTAGCTTCGATGCGAAGCTGAGAAGGTATTGGTTTTACTAAGATGTGTTTTTTTTTTTTTTTTTTTGTGTCTGTTACCACTTTTTCTCAGCTCTCACCGAACCGATTTCTTTCAATGATACGTCAAAAGATCACAAATCGTATCTAGTCGAAGACATTACCCTTAAAAATTGAAAAAAATTCCCTCGTTCCCCGTAAAAGGGGGAAACCTCCAAAAAAATGACAAATTTAAAAATCGCTAATTTTCGAAATTTTTTCAATTTTTTTTACTAAAAACTGCCATAAATTTTTCAAAAATGAACATATCAATATAAATCTTTTTTTATATAGATGCATAATATCATTACCTTTCATTTGGTATATTTTTTTCATAAATTTAACCCTTAACCTGCCCACAAGGGGGGATTTAAAATGACAACTTTTTCACAAAAAATTAATTTTTTTAACTTAAATTTTGAAAATGTTCCGGAAGGTCTGACACTTTTATATATATCTTAAATTAAAGCTAATGTAATATGCTTTATCATGAAAAAAAAAAATTTCGTACTTTATCTTATCTTCATGGTGAAAATGGCTACCGAATGCTATTTTTGTGTGAAAATTTTCGATTTTGTATTTTCCATTTTTAACTTTATTATGCTATAACTTTTTGAAAAATGTATGAATCATTACAATTTTTTTATGAGAAGTAGTATTTATATAGATCTTTCATTCGACATACTGTTTTTTTAAATCGGACCATTTCCCTAAATACAGGGGGGATTCAAAACATAAAAATGCATATAGAAAGTAGAACTTTTTCAACGTAACTTTTGAAAGTGTTCCGGAAGGTCTGACACTTTTATATATATCTTAAATTAAAGCTAATGTAATATACTTTATAATGGTAAAAAAAAATTTCGGACTTTATTTTATCTTCATGGTGAAAACAGACATTAAACTTAATAAAAAAAATACGATTTTTGTAAAAAAATTCTTTTTTATATTTTTAACTTTATAATGCTATGACATATTTAAAAGTGTATGGATCAACATTATTTTTTTATAAGAAATAATATTTTTTAATAATCCCTTTTTCATTCGACATACTTTATTTTAATTAGGATATTAATAATGAACTAGCAGATCATGAAGCTTTTGGAATAATCCACCAATTTTTTAAAATTAAACACTATCTAAAGATTTGCATCGAAGCGTTTTTTTTTGATAGTGATTTTAATCACTGTCAGATATCATTATACTTGATCCATCTATGCCACGTCACCACTGTGCCGCGACCCCCCTGTACTGGGTTTTTTTTTCTTGAAATGGGTACGCATATTTTGATTTAAAAAAATGTTTGAAGTTTTATTTTAATAATAGATGACAATTGAATTTTTAATATAAATATATTCGTTATTAGATATAAAACTCGAAAGTATCAAGTTTTTGAGTTAATATACATATTTAATAAACTAGGGATTACAAATACAAGTATTGAATTGGTTTCTTATGACATCGCTTTCACAGATGCGGAGTGTTTAATGTCGATTAGAAGTTTATCAATATATATGCTTTCTGCATTGTCTGTTGGTGTATTTATTACTTACAACAATGTGCCTTATTACCGTTGATAATAAATGCTGCATATCTGTAAATATCGATGTCATAATAAACCAACACTATTTTTTTATGTAGATATAATTGTTATTTATAAGTAAAATTAATTATTATATAAGAATAATATGTGAAAATTTATTACTTCATAAATAACTAGTCTCCATAAATTTATGTAACTTCTATTTTAACATTTATACTTTATACTAATTTATCAGATGGATGGAGTACAGTTTGCTATGTATAGTATTAATTGGACCGATAAAAGTATAAAATTAAAAAAAATGCTCTTGTTGGCTATGAGTTTAAATCACACGAACAAATTAAAGATGAATATTACTCCTCAAAAATCGTTGAATCTAGAAGTATTTGGTTCGGTATGTTTTTTTTTTAGCACTGAAATCGTTATATGTTATCAAATTCAATATAAAATATATTCATTATAATGTGTGTGACTTGATTAAAATAATAATAATAAATGTATAATAATAATTATCAATTAATTATTTATTTTAGGCGATGCGTGTATCATATTCTATAATTTCACTCTTGGCAAAAAAACAAGTTCGAAATAAGAATTTATTTTGAATCATTTTTGTTTTTTTATATATTAAGTTTACTTTGTGTTAAATTTTAAAATATAATCTTTAAATTAGGGCATTAAAAACTTGATTTGCAAATAAGCTATATTTTCATTTTAATTTTTGGCATTATTATTAAAAAATACATAAATACCAGAATGTAAGAATAAATAAAGTATTTTTATATGTTGAACAGCTTGGTGAAACAAATGTAGGTACGCGCTAATTCTAGAACGTGCGTATAGTACGTGTGTTTGAGGCGCCGCACTCTCAAGAGTATACAAGAGTAACAATGACATATATTTATTTTGTAAATCGTTCTAAAATTATCGTAACAGAATAAATTTTATAAGTTCACTACGAAAATATTAAGATAAATAACTTATTATTCTATATCTGTGTAATCTACAGTCAAATAATATTGAATTATTTTACATTTTCCATGAGCTTATGAAAAAAACTTCTGCTGAATTGAATATAATTACTTGGAATATTTCTATATATTTAAGCTATGAGTTGTGAACTGTCCTCATTAATATTTTATAATGTGTATTTTACGAAATGCTTCCTTTTGAAATAGTGTACGCTCATGACTACTTAAAGAAATACAAAATGTAGATCAGCAATGTTTTAAATTGCGGGTCCATTACATTTAACCGAATATAAACGTAGCAAATACGTTAATTTATTGTTTATAGATAGAAATGATAAACCCTTCGGGCATTTCTGCTGTATTTCTAATCTAGAGCGATTGGTATCCACACAGCTCTCCAAACATAACTCCCGTAAGTTCTTATGTGATAGTTGTCTATTATTCTTTTATTCGGAATTAAAACTAAAACAACACCAGCTTGAAAATTGTATGCGTGTAAAAACTGTTGTACCAAAGCCACCCAAAAACATCATGAAATTTCAAAATTATAATAAACAATTCCCCGTCGAATTTGTCATCTACGCCGATTTTGAATCGATATTAAAACCTATAGCTACATGCGATCCAAATCCGGCACAATCTTTTTCAAACAAAATTAGCATTCATGAACCGCATAGTTTTTCTTATTTTATAAAATGTTCATACGATGAAAATTTGGATCGCATGGAGCTATATCGTGGAGAAAATTGTGTGAAGGTGTTCATTGAGAAACTAAGAGAAGATATAAACCGTATAAGTGATATTTACTCGAATTCCGTTTCAATGATGCCGTTAACTTTAAAACAAGAACACGATCATTATTTAGCAACTGTGTGTCATATTTGCGGCGGAGAATTACGTTATCACGATAAGGTTTTCGATCATTGTCATTTAACGGGAAAATATCGTGGCGCTGCGCATAGAGATTGTAACCTAAAATGCACGGTTCCGTCATTTGTTTCCGTAATACTGCATAACATGCAGAATTATGATTTGCATTTTATTATTACAGAACTTGGATTTGGGGATGATGATGAGGGCATTTAAGTAGTGGCAAAAACTAATGAGAAATACATGTCAATTAGAAAAACAATTAAAACAACTAATAATAAGCGGTTGACGTTGAAATTTATAGACTCATTAAACTTTTTACCATCTTCTCTTGAAAAATTAGCTGACACTTTAATGCCCGAACAATTTACCATTGCAAGGAGAATGTACACAAATGATGATGAGTTCATGATGATGTGTCGTAAGGGAGTATTCCCTAATGAATATGTGACTGACATGGACGTTCTGAATGAAAGTACATTACCTCCCAAATCCTCGTTCCGTAGTATATTTAATATGAGTGATATAACAGACAAGGATTACGCTCACGCAAAAAAATATGGGAAAAATTTAATTGTTCGACATTGGGGGATTATTCGGATTAATATTTAAAAACCGACGTATTTCTTTTAGCGGATATCTTTGAAAATTTCAGAAAAATGTGTTTAGTAAATTATGGTCTTGATCCTTGTTGTTATATCACTACTCCAGGATTCAGTTTCGATGCCATGAAACGAATTACTGGGGTCAAATTGGAATTAATGACGGACATCGAGATGATTAGTTTCATTAATAATGGAATTCGTGGGGGTGTCTCTCAATGCGTATCTCATTATAGTGAAGCTAATAATAAATATTGCGACAATTTCGACTCGTCGAAACCGTCAAAATATCTATTATATCTCGATGCTAATAATCTCTATGGCGCAGCGCTTAGTCAACACCTTCCACTTGGAAATTTCAAATGGTTAGAAAAAACAGAAATCGATGCGTTAGATGTCATGGAAATTGACGATGATAGTGATTGGGGGGTTATTTTAAACGTCGATTTAGAGTACAGTGATAATTTACATGACCTTCATTCAGATTTACCACTATGCCCCGAAAATATAAAACCTCCGAAATCAAAATTTAAAAAATTGATACCGAATTTATATGACAAAAAAAATTATGTTATTCATTATCGATGTCTAAAACAGGCTATTAGTTTAGGACTAAAGGTGAAAAAAATTAATAAAGTACTTCGATTCGAACAGTCGGCTTGGATGAAAGGGTATATAGATTTAAACACTAGAAAACGAATGGAATCCAAGTCGGCTTTCGAAATTGAATTCTTTAAACTCATGATCAATTCAATTTATGGTAAATGTCTCGAAAACCCCGAAAGAAGATTAGATGTAAAAATTATAACCAAATGGCAAAATATAGGAAAACGATTCGGGGGTAGTGTGTTGATTTCGNTCGGAAAACGATTTGGGGCTAGTGTGTTAATTTCGAAACCAAATTTCCATAGTGTATCAATCTTTAATAATAATATGAGAGCCATCCATATGAAAAAAACTGAAATCGTATATGATAGACCTTGCTATGTCAGGTTTTCCGTTTTGGAAATAGCAAAGACTATCATATACGATTTCCATTATAATTTCATGAAGAAAATATACGGGAATATGTGTAAGTTGTTGTATACGGATACAGATTCTCTATTTTATGAAATACGAACTGTGGATGTTTATAATGATATTAAAAATAATTTAAATAAATTTGATACGTCGAATTATGACCCCAATAANGGGGCCATAAATACATCCCCCCCTCCTCACCAGATTAAAAATAATAATATGATGCGTACTTCTACATTATTTATAAATATTTAACTTTACGTTTTTTCTATGTAAATTTGTAAATAATTAATTTATGATATATAAATTGTATGAATTTAATATTAATTTAAAATCTTGATGTCAGAAATAAATATAAAGTTAAGTTACTGTTGTTTAGAAATATTATAAAGTTGTAAATTGTAAATATTTATAATTAATTGATTTATAAATATCGGATTAAATTTTAAGTTAATCTATTAACACAGATAAATGTATAGTTAAGTTATTATCATTGAAAATACATATGCTTTGTAATTAATTTATATATCTGAGTAAATTTGATGATAGTATTAAAAATTGGTTGTAAAAAATAAATTTATAGTTAAGTTACTATTATTTAAAAAAAAAAATATGATTTGTATGAAAATGAAAATTAATAAAACGTATTTAATAGGTAATATGAATCTTAATATCGTAATTTTCTATCTAATTAACTTATTCACTAATATTAAACTTATGATAAAATGTTTTCATAGCGTTTCCATTTTGCAATGCGACCTCTTCCTTTATGTGTATTGGAAAATTAATTATCTTCACGGAATAATAGATTCTAAAAAAATCAATAACATTATTTATCACAATAAATTAGGTTTATTATTACTAAAAAAAATTATGTACTATTATACTTAATATTTATGATTAAATTTATAGTATGTTATAATACTGTCAAGGTATGCTCTGAGACGATCAACAGTTGTATAATATTATTCTACCTACGAATAAAAATAAAAGTTAATAAATATAAAATACATTGAATCTATAGTTACTCGATTGTTCCTTTAAATTATAATTTTTTCTCCGTGTTGAAAAAACTGAGTATTTTCGATGTTGAAAAAGTATGTTGTAATACTTACTTTTTTACGTTTTCGGTGAAGATTTTTACTCTTACGTATGTCACTATATTTTAATTTTTTATTGAAATAGTTATTTCATGTGATTGTGTACTCAATGTTATCAATATGTACAACATTATGTTATAATTCAAAAATATAAATAAAATCGGTAAAAAGTTGGTAAAATATAAATGATGAAAATGAGCGATGGGTATAGTGAGAACCTGATGTTGTGGTTCTATCGGGGTCGTATGGTTCGAGGGTTTAGAACGACAAAGACAAGTAGATATAAAAATATATTAAGTTCCTCTTATAGAGGTAGAATAAACTTTTGTCTGGTTAGTTTCTAATGTCCTAACTAAGAGGCAACGAAACGGCGAAGCCAGTTCACGAATACCTCGGCAACGAGACGGCAGAGCCAGTCCACGAATACCAGAGCCTAATTTATACAGTAGAAAGCACGCTAGGTTTTTTAAAACATCTTTAAGGCAACGAAACGGCAGAGCCAGTTCACGAATACCATATAACGTGATTATGTATAATTTCTTTAACCAACCAGTCAAAATTGACACTTTAAGATATTAATTTAATAAATGATCTATTGCTTTGTCATTCTTTACTCAAATTTATTAACTCCAAATAATTGGGATAACATAAAATTACTTACTTCTTTTATTCTTGTAAATTGCNAACTTAATTTATAATTAAGTTAAATATCAGTTAACTATATGCTATTATTTTGTATCAAAAGTAATTCCCATGAACATAAGGATTCTTTTGTTTCATAATATTTTTGAATAGTTTATTTGCTATTTCATCAAAAATTTTACCATTGTTGTTTTCACTAATAACAGATAGTATCTGTTAATGACTGGCGTTTATGATATACATTTAAAGTATGTGTAATTTAATATTGATAAAATTTCAAGAACTATCGATTTTATTTTTAACAAACTTGTATATTTTTAATATTAATATGTTGTTCAAGTATTAAAATCTGAATATTGGTTGTATTATCTAAACAATCATAGTGTATTATTTTACGTTACTAAATAAAAGTAGTTGTGGTGACCGCAGTCCTTTGTGTCATTTCCATGAAATGTTTAACATTTTAAATATTTAATATAATTATCTATATTAAAGTGTAAGGAATATTATTTATGATGACGTTATGTCATTTTTAAGAAATGTTTAACATTATTAATATTTAATATTTTACATTTCATTTACTTTTATATTTATTGATGAATTATTAAGGATAGTCTAGGAAAGTCTAATAGTACTATAATTATTTTTATATTCTATAAAATTTTAAGTATTAACTGTGACATTTTCTATTCTTTTTTGGGTATTTAAATGACAATAAATTTTTATACAAAGGGAAGTAGTGATTGTTCCTGTTATTTTTTTAACAACGATGACATGTATTTTCATAAATAGTAAAATAGAGAAAAATTTTACTTAATTTTTTTTATTAATATTTGCTGTCTACAGCTAAAAGTGAAGTAGTGATATAATCGTAAGTAAATGCTCAGATTATCGAAAATTAATATTTTAAATTTTTTAAACAATATCTTTTTGAAATACATCACATATTTTAGTACATTTTTTTACTCAACTGCAATAATAACAATTTTTTATCTAGTTAATTCCTAAAAATATTTACAGAATTTCATATACTGAGTGATTCATATATCAATAACCACATAATTAATCAAAAAATTTAAATAATATTCACAATTTTTAGCTTCGATGCTAAGCTGAAAAGGTATTAATTTTACTATGATGTGTTTTTTTATTTTTTATTTTTTTTTGTGTCTGTGAAAGCTCAATCTCAGCTACCGCTGGACCGATTTTTATGAACAATACTTCAAAAGATAAAAAATTGTATCTGGTCGTAAACATTACCCTCAGAAATTGAAAAAAATTCCCCCGCTCCCTGTAAATGGAAGAAATCATACAAAAAATTACAATTTAACAAATCGGTAATTTTCGTCATTTCTTCAATTTTTTTTTTTTTTAACTGCTGTAATTATATTAAAAATGAACAAATCAATTTAATCTGATTTAATATAATTAAATAATAATTAAAGGTCTGATTTAATATAATTAATAAAAAACATTTTTTATAGATACCTTAGGTATTTACCTATCATTTAATATATTTTTGTGTACTTTGACTCTTTACTTGACCACAGGAGGAGTTTTTTTTATAATTGCGAAATTGCAACTTTTTCATTTTAACTTTTGAAAATGTTCCGAAAATACTGGAACTTTTACATACATTTTAAATTAAAGCTTATGTAATATACTTGTATTAGAAAAAAAAATTGACTTCTAGCTAGACTTGTCTTCGCGTTGAAAACAACTGTCGTATTAAAAAAGATGCTACTTTGTGAAAAAACTCTTAATATTATATTTTACATTTTTTAAATTTATGTTATCATAACTTTTTAAAAAAATGTATGAATTAATACTATTTTTTTATGATAAATACTTTATATATACCTCTTTCATTCAAAATAATTTTTATTTACCTTTTTAAAATTTTTTAAAACCATTTCTCTTTATACAGAGGGAGTTCCAACCAATAAATAGGCGTATAGATAGTAGAACTTTTTCAATTAAATTTTTGAAAATTTTACGGAAAGACTGACACTTTTATATATATCTTAATTAAAACTTATGTAACATACTTTAATTTGAAAAAAAAATTTGACCTCTGGACTTGTATTCATAGTGAAAATGACTACCGTATTAAATATAGCACGATTTTTGTGTTAAAATTCATGGTTTTGTATTTTATATTATTTTAAAATACCTAAAAAGGGGAGTACACTGATTTTTATAAATATTATATAAATCTAATTTACATAGAATAGAAAGTTAAACTCAATTCAATTGAGTAGATTTTTTTAACAAGTTTTTTATTGGTTTATTTTTTTAATTGTTTCGATGCTAAACTAAAAAGTTATTTATCTTGTAATAATTTTTTGTTTGTCCATAAAAATTATCAGCTCTCACTGGATCAATTCTGATGATAATACGTTGAAATAACCGATCTGATATCTAGTTAAACTAATAGTCATAAAATATTGGAATAAATCCCTTAATTTTAGTAATTTAGACAAATATTTACTGTAAGAAATGTCAACTTAAAAAAAAAAAACTATTTTTAAATAAATATCTCCACAATTAATAAGAGTACAAAATTAATTTTTATACTAAATTACACAGTAAAATTTTATCAATAAAATAAAATATTTTTTAATCAGCATAAACTAAAATATACTTTGCTTAACCACGTTTTTACGCTGATTTCAAATCTGCAATTAGATTAATTTCCATCGTCTCTTTTTTGAGATTATTACTAATTTATATAAACGAGTAGTTACATTTAAAAAATGATTTTGATTTTTAATATATAAAAAATAATCCACGCAAAATTTCGATCAAAAATGTCATGTTTGACCTATTGTTTGGTACTTTAAAGTTAATTTTTAGAAAGTTAAAAATGTTGAACTTCTAAGCTTTTTATTAGTTTAACTTGCAAGTTTGAAATTGATTAAATTAAATAGAAAATTTTAAAAAAGATTTAAAAAATGATTTTGTTTAGATTTATATATGGTCAGGAACATATTTAATTTTTATTAACAGTAAAATTATGAAAATAGTCCAAATTTTCGTTAAAATCACTTATCATATTTTTTGTATTTATATCGTAATAAATGATTTCATTAGAAATAATTACTATGTAATTCTTAGCGTTTAAATAGATGCTATAATTAGAATGTAACGTACATATTATTCGTCCATCACCAACAGTGCACATTGCAGTTTTAATAGTGCCGATTTAATATATATACTTGACCAACAACGATCAAAGAATTTGTGTATTACTAAATACATTAATAAAATTCATTTTCTATTTTACGACAAAATTTCACAATTATATCTATACTATATTAAATTATCTTAAGAAATTAGTTTAAAATTCGCATACACCTTTATACAATTATTATCTTAAGCGCGTCGAAAATAATCAAACCATCCGCATAAGCCAAACCGCTTGGCAAACGCTAGGATTTAAGGACTCTAATATAAACAAATTGAACAAAGACACAAATCGTTCAAATTATTAGAGACAACCTTAATAACTTAAAATTAGCTTACACATTTCAAAGGTGTAACAATATAAAACACTCAGTAGGCGCTACCGTTGTTCTTTCAAAAGAACGATTTACCATATTTAAACGCGTTAGCACGTGGAAATACACAGCAGAAAGCTTTGCTACCTTATCTCTTAATAACAAATTGAAAACTTTAAAAGCCGACAATAGGGGATATACATACTTTTTCTGTTCGAAAAATGATTTAATTAATATCTTAGGCAGTTTAAACAGCGAATAACCAATCAATAGTTCAATAAATAGTCTTATTGCTATACTTCGCGCGAAACTTAATCAGCGAAAAATACGACTCGGACAACGAGTCTGATATTGAAAATCTTCCGAATATAAAGTTTTTTCCTACTATTGAAACTAAAAGCTCATCTAGCGGCTCCACTTCACTCGTTATATTAGAAAAAACATTAGTTAAAATAAAAACACTTAATTTAGAAACCAACAACGTTGTTTCAACAATTTCACCGCCTAAATTAGATATTAATACTTAAAAAAACTTTTACAACTCAGACGCACAAATCATATTAAGAAAACAAAACTTAGAGACAAGAAAGAAAAAGGAAACTGAAACGATTCAGGAATATTTGTTGAATGTAAAGGCAGAATGTAAAAAAGTTGATAAAAATATGCCTGAGAGGGATGTAATAAGATATATTGTGAGATGGTTGCCCGGAGAGTACTTCAGAAATATAGAAATTATGAATTTAGACACACTTGAGATATTTGATGAAAACATTAAAAGGTTAGAAAGAGACGCTGGGTTAAATAACAAATCTGATAAAGACAGTGAAATAGAAAAGTTAAAAAAGCAAGTAGAGATTTTAACGTTATTTTTACAGAATAACCACTAGGTAATCTATGTTAGGCCTTCACGCAATATCATGCAGCAAATCGTTCCAATAATTATCATAATGAACAGGGAAATTTTATTAACAATAATTTCAATAGGAATAATTATAGACCCCTGTTAGGAATTATGGGAATAATAACGGGCACGCCAATATGAATTTTACAAATAACATAAAGGATAATTGGCAAAACTACAACCAAAATAACTTTATTAATAATAGAAATAAAAATCACAACATTAGAAATTATAATAATTATAGACATGAAAATAATTACATAGAGAGTAACGAAAACACTAATAATGTCCAAAACCCGTAGTATAACAATAAATTCGGATCGAACTCGTCCACAAACTTATTACTCTACGATCCTATACAAAATATATATTATCCTACAAATTCTAACGATGGGGACGCTAAGCAAATAATTTACGAAACTGATCGAAGCACCGCCAGAAATTACAAAAAGCACTATAGTCAAAACAAGGAGACTAGGCAGAGTTTTGACACTCCTACACCGCCTAGTCAATCACCATCCATTAATTCCTCTAAAAACTCATACAACATCAAACAAAATGATAGTATATATACAATATTATTAGTATTATTATTATTTTTTTTTACATTCACGCATAAGGTTAATTTTACACTGTCGGCTTATACCTTGATAATTTTTAAATGCAATTAAACATTGTCCATCTTACACAAACCACGTGAACAAAAGGTTGTCATACTTTGGTGCCCCGAAGCTTATCAAGAAGCCGACGACAGGGCAGAGCTTCTCACAAGAACCGCTTGGTAGCCGACTATTGAAAGCAACACTGAAGGAAGCTCTTCCAAGGCTCAAGAGACTGCGAATCCAGGAGTGTGGTCATCGAAAACAAAAAGTGGTTTTGTGCTGTGATGACACTGTACCTTCTTGATCAACCAATAACTTTACCTTTATTTTCAGGATTTATATACGTTTATCACCAATTCCCTATTCATTGTATTGTTTTTCTTTTAGAAGATTCAGAGACGAATCTTACCGGGCGAGGGTGATCTGTAAACAGATTATTCGTCCATCACCAGCATTACCATTTCAATACCACACTAGTGCCTGATCAGCATAAACGTCCCTACGACCTACTACGGGTGGGTATGCGGCTCGCGCGTGTGTAAACAAAACCGATGATATTCTTCTTCCTTAAATAAATATATAACGACAAGCAGTCGACATTTTACCACGCTCGCGGCTACTCATTTTTTATTACAGATTATATTTTTATTACTACAACTTAATTCCGACAATATTATCTTATAATATTAATTTAACTATTATTATTTATTTTATTACAATCAAATTTGTGTACGCTCGCCGCTGTCGCTCACCTAACTTGGATACCACAACATCTCTAGAGATCCAGTCAGGTTATATTTAAATATACTATTAAATAGAAATAAATGATTGTTAACGTTGTTAGTTGAGAGTCTATATTTATTGATCAAGAAACCACTAACTGCCCTTCTAGTGGGATATAAATTATGTAGGGCCAGCGTTGCCCCGATAAGGTACAGCTTAGCGAACTGTTAGAATCCTAGCGGGAAAGCACGTTGCAAGAATAAGTTTTCCGTAAAAATTACAACAAAAAATTATTGAATATCAATTTCATACTATAATTAATTGTTATAATAAATAAAAATTCATATCTGATACCTGTAAATCAACTACTAATTAGGAATAACGATAGTAATAGGAGTTAGTTTAGTTTTGCTATAAGAATAATCAACAAATTTCATAAAATTAAAGACTATTTACAGATTTGCATCAAAGCGTTTTTTATGATTGTGATTTTAATCACTGTCAGATATCATCTATACTGAACCCAACTATACCACATCCTCACTATGCCTCGATTCCATTGTGCTATCATTTTATTTTTCGTTTCTTTTAGTTACATTTTTTTCTGAAGTTTATTCATAAATATTTTTTATGATCAAACCTTATACCTTATAATGATGTAAAATTTATTTTTTCATATTTATTTATTTTTTAAGTGGCAACATACGTAATTAACTAGCTTTTTTCTTAGATAATGACGTAATAAAGAAAATTACTATATCATTGAAAAATTGAGAAAAACTTGTACCTAAAAGATATCAAAAAATAAAATATAGAAATTATTTTTATTTTTCGATTAATTAAATGATTCATGATAAATTAATTATTAGTATAGGGGTTAAACATTTTAAAAATAAGTTAATTGTTACCAAACATGTGAACAGCGGAATCTCTTTATCTTACTAATTATAAATACTCAATATAATACTGTCGAATTCAGTGAATATATCACATGTTTAACTCATATAATAAATTATTGTGTGTGAAAGTCATATACAAATTACTCAATTAATTAAGTAAAAAGAAAAGAACAACAAGAAAAATACAAAAAAGTAATAAATAATATTAATTTCATACATTTTTTTTTTTTTAGATCAATTAGTCATACAAGGGCAGAACAACCCTACTCCAAAATAAAATGCAAAGCCAAATTCGAGAAAAATTTATTTTAAACGATCGAATATTAATGATTCTAAATTTTCATTGTGAACTTAATCCATTTAATCTGACTGCAATTTCCAATTTCAAGTTTTACCAACTCTTTTATTCTCTATTATTAGTAGTGGAATTTATTGTAATCAATTGCTATGTATTTATTGGTTTTAACTATGTGAAAAACGATTTTATTTCAGCTACACAATTATTTATAAATATAATATCCGCTATTCAAATATATCTAAATAACTATAGACTTTCTAAAAAATATGGTGAATTAAGAAAATTATTAGATGCAACGAGTAGCTACTTTCTGTTTTCTAATAATAAAGCAAAATATATATTTAAACACAACGAATCTAAGTGTACTAAAATAATAAATATATACTTTTTTATGTATATTTCAGCGTGTTTAGGTTGGATCCTTAGTCCATTACTAATAAAAGAATATCCTCTAAAAAGAAGTGACGGCAGTCTGGTTATTTATCATAATAACATCCTAAATTCATTCTTAAGTTTTATACCAATTTCGGTTTATGAGCGAATTTATCCAATTGTATATCTATTAGAAGCTTTCGAATTAGCACATATTTGTTTTGAAATGTTTTTCTACTATACAATAGTTATACAATTTTGTTGGATGTTATCAGCTCAATTGAAAATAATTACGTTTAAATTCGAATCATTTGGATACAAATATGTTGAATTAGGTACGTGTAAAATGATTAATCATAATCTTTATTTCTTCAATATTTTTTGATAACCTAGAAGGAAAACATAATTTTTTCAATACTAGTAAGATTTTAAATTAATTATCTATTTTCCAAATAGAACAGAAAAACGACTCTTACTACATGAAAAATTTAAATCAAATATTTTTGGATCAGACAAAGATAAACGTGTAAGTTGATAAAAATATTTTAAATCAAGGCGAATACTTCATTTTAATCTTTTTTATATTTATGTATTGTTAAAATGATACATTTATTCTATGTGTTTAGCGTTGATAATGGTAACATTGTTTCCGAAATACGTATCCGCGACTTTTCATTAATTTTTTTGTGGCTTTTGAGTTTAATATTTTTAATATTTTTTAGTTTTTTTAAATTAATAATATTTTTAATATAGTTTTAATTTTACTTTATAATAACGTATTATTATACAATATTAAATAATAATAATATATAATATTGTATATATTATACAATCAAATGCAGTTGTCATATATTTCAACACATTTTAAAGTGTTATTCACAATATGGTAGATAATCCAATAACTAATTCGATGTTACATTTTTATTAATCTTTATTATTCTTATTAGTTCAATTAAGAAATTTCATGAAATCATGAAACCGATGACGTGGTTTACTTTTGTATATTGTTTAAATCTTTTAAATGCTCTCACATATGTGTGTATATTGGTATGTATTTTTAAACTTAGCAATCAAGTGATTTTCATAATTTGATGAGAAATTTGTTTGTAGATTTACTTTAAAAATGACGGTGTATTATCTGTTACTTTTGTGAAAATATTATTAGCAACATCAGTGGTCATTATCGATTTGTTTGTTATAAGCTATTTTTATGGTTATCTTGAAAATCAAGTAAATTAGATTTTGACAGTAGTTAGTACATTTTAATTAAATTTTGACTAAAATTTTAAAATATTTATAAAAAAGTTTTTATCAAAATTATACGAAAAAAGTATGTCCCTTAAATAAAAGTATGAAACAGTAAAGTATAAAAAGTATAATAAACAAACATAGTTTAAATGAATTTTAATAATATTTAATCAAATATTTTACTCTGTAGCTACATTTAAATGTTTTGTTATAACAGTCCATTATGTATTACTACTAAAATCTTGTTAATTTTGTGTTATTTTATAGTTATCTCGAAAATCAAGTTAAATTATTATTTATTTTATTAATATGGTTTTATCATTTTGAAATTATCTACATAATAAAAATTTTGATTCGGCCAAATCAAAAATTTAATTTAATTAATTAGATTTTGATGATAGGCAGCACGTTTTGATGTAATTTTTACTTAAATATGATATAAATGTTACGGTCAAAGTAGAAAATTAGTCATTGTATACAATGTTCGATTGTATGAAGCCATGTGGATAATTATACACATTGACTAGACATTGTATACAATGACTAGTACTGAAAATGCCAAGTAAACACAAATTATTATCATGACAAATGATATACAAAAAACATTTTCTTTAATATAATTTATTTTTTGACACATATTATTTATTTTTACAATTGTTGCCATTGTGACACTTAGTGTTACATAAAATATTTGCTTTTTTGCATTTACATTTTCTTGTGTCACATTTTTGTGACACAAGTGCAGCATTCGTAACCTTGTCCTCTTAGGTTGGAAAGTAATCTAGAGACTTCCCTCAGTGGTAACTGAATGTCGAGTAGATCCTCAATATTAATAAACTCCTCCTTGCAAATTGTAAACTGATTTCTACTGTAATAATGTTGCAGTTTACCTTTGGTTGTACTTTCCATCATCCACTAAAAACAAATCTTAATTACAAATTGAAACATGAACATAATTAACAAAAATATTGCTTTTATTACCTGATAGTATCACTCCCAAAATTGATCGTAAGTCACTTCGAACTCTATCCGCATCTGGTATTTTAATTTTAACTGATTGTCCAATTTTTCAATCACAAAATCTTCTTTCTGAGATAAACTTCATTTTATTAGCTTGAATTTCTAAATTATTAACAGCATCAGTTCTTTTAGTTTTTATAAAAAGTTTTCTGAAATTTAAAGCATCATCATCATTTTTTTCTCCTTCGTTTTCTTCATTTTTTTTATTTTCTTCGCTTTTTTCGTCTTTTTCTTCTCCAATTGCAGTGTTCAATGCTTTTTCTAAGTCGTCTTCCGACTTTGCGAATGGCTAGGTTTACCATGAACAATTGTCAAATCACTCCACATATTACACAATTCTTCTATAACCTTGTTGGCAAATTCTCTTCTGTTGTCACTTTGTAATATTGCTGGAGCACCAAAAGTCGTAAAGACATCCAGCAACACATACGCAACTTCTTCAGCACGTTTATGAGTTAAAGGACGTAAATTTACAAATTTAGTTAAATGGTCTTGATAGACCAAAATAAACTTATAATTACCATCAGGTTGCGCCTGCATATCAATTAAATCGACTTGACAACGCGGATTCATTTCTGTTGATATGATAGGTTTAGCAACTAAGCCCTTTTTAATCGAACTGCCTTTTTTTGACATGATTCGCACAAGTTCAAGTACAACATTATTGTTTCTCTTGTAATATTTTTATATTTACTATTTAGACTATGTCCCATTCTACTGCGACCTCCATGCCCGATTGATAAATGTGTTTCATGAAGAATATTAAATATTTCTTTATTATGTACGTAATATTTAATTTGATACCAACCTTCATTTATTGGCACAATAAGTCTTTCCACATTACTCACTTTAAAAATATCATATTTCTTAATCAATTTATAATCATTTGGAGTTTTAGTTTTATTCAATTTTAATGCTTTTAAATGCAAAATTAGTTCATCATATTTTTTTTTACTTAGGTATGTACTATTATTTTTTTTATTTTCTATTATATTATTCAGACGATTTATAAATTTAGTTTCCATTTTTAAAACACGCACAAGACAATTCGAACGCACAAACGTATAACACGGCACTGTTAGTATGTTTATGTACAGCGTACGAGCTACATATTACAAAGATACGATTAAAGTTAAAGTTTCCCGATTACCTATTAATTTTTTCTGGTGGTTGTGGTCAATCAACTACTGATAATACCGAAATAAACGACAGTTTTAGAATTGTACACAATGTCCTCACCTGTTTTAGCATTGTATACAATGACCAGTCATTGTATTACAATGACTAGTCTATGTATGAACTACATTTGTATGGTTTACTTTTGCCCAAATAGCATCAGCATTGTGTACAATGACCAGATATAGTATACAATAACTGATTTTTCCACTTGGACCGTAACATAAATACTTAATTAATAGCGTTATTAAATGTTTACTAAAGCTTTAGAAAGTTCTTTTCACAAATGTATACATCAGTAAATAAGAGCAAAAATCTATAAAACAGTTGTATTATAGATTTATATTAAACGACTAAATAGTAATTAATTGTCATTTTTTATAAAAAAAATATAGAGTGACTATCATTAGACTAGCATATTAGTTTATCCATTAGCCACTACTATATATTTCTTTTAAAATAATAATAATTTTGAAAAATGTATTTTTTTAATATTAATGTAGTATTTATTTCGCAATTTATGAGTGTGTAAATACTTATTATGTCCATCTTTTATTTCCTATTATAGTAAAAACTTAATTTTAGTTTCAATGCTCTTGTATCAATATCGATTAAAATTATGACATTTTCAAAAAGTATGGCAATTTTTTAATAAATGGACGAATCAAAAAAAATTTCTTTTTAAATACCTCATGTATGTTTCTTTTATAAGATAAACATATTTTTTGAAAATCTGACACTTTAACTGTCTACAGGGACTCAACATAACAACTTTCTCATGATAAATTAATATTTTCAAATATTCCGAAATTATTGTGTCTTATAAACATATTAAATTTAAAGCTTATATTACATACTACAAATTATAAAATAATTGTGTCCGACACCTTTTCTTCTGTCTCAAAGATATATTCTCAACTTTTCAAATTATCAAGTTAACTTATTCTGTAAATTGCTCAGATTTTAAATGTGCCTAAAAGTCATAATTTTAATAATAATAAAAAAACAATTGATTTATTAAAATATACAAATTCATTTTTTTTATCGTTAACCACTCAATTACAAACAATATAAAAATAATTTTTTTTGATTACTTTAAGTTACATATTATTCTTGAATTATTAATTATGTAATACTTTTAAAGTTAATCTTTTATGATTTGTAAGGCTATCAATTTTTTTTTTTCTTTAAACGGTACGCAATTTTGAGTTAAATAAAATTTTTGAAGTTTTATTTTAATAATAGATAGCATTTGAATTTTTAATATAAGTATATTCGTTTATTAGATACAAAACTCGAAAGTATCAAGTTGTTGAGTTAATATACATATATAATACACTAGGGATTACAAATACAAGTAGTGATTTGGTTTTTTAAGACGTCTCTTTTACAGATACGGAGTGTTTAATGTCAATATATATGCTTTCTGTATTGCCTGTTGGTGTATTTATATACTTACAACAATGTGCTTTACTACCGTTGATAATAAATGCTGCATATCTGTCATAAAAAACCAACACAATTTTTTTATGGAAAAATACTTGTTTTTTTAAACAAAATTAATTATTATTTAAGAATAATATGTGAAAATGTATTACTTCATTAATAACTATTCTACATAAATTTTAGTGACTTCTATTTTAACATTTTATATTTTATACTATTTTATTAGATGAAAGTAGTACAGTTTGCTATGTATAATATTGATTGGACCAAGAAAAGTATAAATTTCAAAAAAAATCTTTTGTTGGCTATGAGTTTAAATAACACTAACAGATTAAAAATGAACATTACTCCACAAAAATCGTTGAATCTAGAAGTATTTGGATCAGTAAGTTATTTTTTTAGACAAAAAAAACTGAAATCTTTGTGTGTTATCATAATTCAATATAAGATACTTTTTATAAAGTGTATGACTTGTTGTGAACTGGCTTTTTGCTTTATAATTGTAATTATGTAATTTAATAGTATATATATATAATAATCATGGGAACGGAAGCCTCTATTGTCTTGTATAAAGTATTTACCAGGCAAGCATCGAGTTCTTCTAGAACATTCGATGCTTGCTCAGCCTTTTTCAATGCATTGGGCCTACGGCCGCCGCCGCCTGAGGCGACGCGCCAGTAGGAGTCAGCTACTCGTTCAAGAGTCATAGAGTTCATGGGTCGAACCTGGACGACTCTCCACTGAATCTTTTGTTAATTTGCTCACTGAATCTTTTATGTTAATTTGCTCACTGAATCTTTTATGTTAACTTGTTCACTGAATCTTTTATATTAATTATCAACTAATTAAAATCGAGAAGTTAATTATAAGTGTAAACATATTTTTTTTAAATATAATAAACTAATTATCAAACGCATTCTCTCTTCATTTGTCTACCGTACCAACCCGGTCACAACAGACTTAATTAAAATAATAATTATAATAAATATACAAAGTGTTCAGGAAATAAGGAAACGTGTAAATTTTTATGAGCAATAAGAACAATAGAAACCCGTTTTCTTACTTACTAAATATCCTAAATTATAATAATTATCAATTAATATTGATTTTAGGCAATGCGTGTATCATATTCAATAATTTCACTTTTGGCAGAAAAAACAATTTCAAGATAAGAGTTTATTTTGAATCTTTTGTGTTTTATTATATATTAAGTTTACTTTGTGTTAAATTTTACAATTTTATTTTTAAATTAAGGCATTAAAAACTTTATTAGTAAATAAGCTATATTTTTATTTTAAAGTTTGGCAGTATTATTAAAAAAGACATGAATACCAGAATCTAATGTAAGAATACATCAAATATTTGTATGTGTTGAAGGGCTCGGTGCAACAACGATAGGTACGCGCTAATCCTTTAACGTGCGTATAGTACGCGTGTTTAATGTGCCGCACCCTCATACGCAAAAGCTTACTCCACCGACCTTGATTATTAAGTACATTACTACCATTATACCAGTCTATACCATTGTGCGCCCGTCGTGTACATAACAAGTGCCTCCGTTTGTATCAAATACCCTTGTAGTCTTCAACATTTTAATGTAAAGTATTCCAACTGTTCATTTCTCACCGTCATCAGTCATCTTTCATCTATTGTATGTTACACAGTTAAGTTTTTATTTGTTTGTAATTATTATATTATATTTTATCTATTTTGTTCAGAGATGCCTTGTTGGTCATTTTAGTATTAAGTGACCCCCCCCCCAATCCACAATTCTATGATAGTTTGTATATATATATATATTGTTACTTTAATATATAACTCCTTGTCTTGTAATTCTTATAATTTTATTTAGAGTAAGTACCATCCTCAATCTTATATATAGTCCACTCCCTATTTCTTTCTCTGGCATAATTAGACAACCCAACCGGACGTTAACTAACCCGCACATTATAACCGGCGTTCCGTTCAAACATCATTCGTAAAGACAAAATAAATATAGTGCTTTGATTTCTAATTATTACTTGATTAGTGTAGTTAGTGTATTAAAATTATTCTTACCTGTTGCTTACTGATGATGATAGAATCTTGTTGATTTGTAGTTGTTCAAAGTGTTTGTTTAAAATTATTGGAGGTATGTTAATAAAAGAGAATTATAAATGAATTATAGAGTCATGTTTATTACTAAGAAAAGTGTTAATTATTTTAACAAATATTCTAAGTATTCTTTTAAGCGATTTAGAAATACAAAAGTTATTTATTTTCTGCAAATGTTCTAGAAGATACTATTACAACACATATAGTGACTATATACTATGCTGCGATTTTTAATACATTATTATGTATCTAGACTGCCTTATGATCAAAAATAGATCTGGTAAGGGACTAGGGGAACTGCATTCTATACTCCCTGGTACTTATTATTTTGACTCAGTACACTTTGATCATCTAGAACCATTCGAAACCAGCAACAGAGGTAACAAGTACTCTTAACATATTTTGAACTCTACCAATTATTCGAGTGCAAATAGACAAGTGGAACATGTAAATCATTCACTTATTCCTATTTTCTTATTCCTGCGACACATCAGTATCTCAGTAGACTCAGTATGAATAGACGAAATCAGCCTGTCTACTGGAAAGGTCTCATGATACTATCATCAATGCCCAAGAGCGTATGAAAGAATAACACGATAGAAAACTTTTGTGTGGACCTGAGTTTGATATTAAGCTGGTGGTAGTAATGACTATATAACCAGCTCCGGGTGAATCTTCCAAACAGCATATTAAATTTCGTGAACCGCTACCGATGGCGGAGAAGCTGCCAGGGTACACCTTTAGGGTACTAGGAGTATCCAACAAGGGAGGATGAGTATTTTCTACTAACGCTCATATTTCCAATCTAAAGTCATAGAAGATTATCAGTGAAAGTTGATAGAATGTTTGTCTGATAGTAAGGAGACTTGTCAATAAGTGCAAGAACTCAAAACAATTAATAAAGTATGCCAGCTCAGCAACACACTAAAAAAGAAATTTTGAAATCTTTGACTTTAAAGACAAATAACTTATAAAATATTGTAGCTACGTTTTTTTTTTTTTTTTTTTAAATAATGTAAAAACCATTAAATTTATATAGGTTTAAAGAAAGCAGACATTCCGGAAGTGTTTTTTACTTGGAGAGCATATTTCAAATAGTAGAACAATAATCGGATAAAAAATTGTATATTTAATTGAGACGGTTTTTTATAATTTTCTCTAACGATAAGTTCAACTAAATAAATATAAAATGAACAGTAAAAAACAAAAAAAATTGTATTAATATTTTGTCTTTTCTAGTATAATACTATATTTTTTAATTGACTAATTTAACACTGCCTTGGATTTTTCAAGAGAAGAAAAAATTAATAAAATAAACATGAGGAGTGCTTCGCTTTAGGACAAAAAATCTCTTCTACTGCAAAAAAAGACAAGCCTCTAGATGTAGCAACATCTAATCAAAAATTAAATATAATGAAAAAATCTGAAAGTAGATCCGAATTTGCGTTAAAAAACGATTACTGGCGTGAGACTCTATCGACTTAAGATCTAAAGATTTTATCAGGCTTGCTCATAAATATTAGAGAGGTTTCTTGAATTCCATTGGTTTTTGAACAAGTCATAAGCTTATTTGACTTTCTTAGATTTGCCTACAATTTTTTTGTAAAACGCATTAGCTGTTACTGTATAAATTAATTCTAAAAAAAAAATGATTTTGTTAAATTATTAATTTAACAACTGTTTTTTACAATTATAATCAATTTTTAAAATGCACTTAATTTAGTATCTTTTTTATTATTTTTTTGACTTTCTATAGGAAAATAAAAAGGTATTGGTTTTTTGATGCTGTGCGTTTTTTTTTATATCTGTCCATAAAAATTTTCAGCTCTCGTTGGACTAATTTTTTATAAGTATTTACTCATTATTGATAAATTAGTAATAATATCAATTTTTTTAAAAATATTGCATCGTACATATAACTCGTATATTTGTCTTAACTATAGTACATTTACACTGTTCTATTGTTTTTTTCTATTTAATTTGTACTTAAAATATATTTTTAAATTTAAAAACACTTAGTATTTTTTAAATTTATTGAACTTAAATTTTTTTTTTCAAATTAAATGGAAATTAGATTAAATATTAAGTGAAGTTAGTTTTGGTGAATATTTAATTTTAAGTTTATTTGTTTTAATTTCTAACAAACAATGCACCGGTGTCTAAGCTAAGATCACAAAATTTTCAGATTGAACTGAAATTTAAATCAACTTAATAATAATATTATCGGACTAAGTGTATTGAAATCCTATAATATACTTATTGAGTAGCTAGTCTCTGAGCTTAATGTTTTTGTTTCGACAGAACATGGTACCTGCAGACAACGCATAGAAACTTACGAATATATTTTTAGTGTTTAATTTTTGTTTTAGTGATTATTGTGTCGCATCCTACAAGGCGTCAGCGATGCAACACGATATACCGCCTTGATAAAATGTTTACATAGATATAAATATTTTTGAATATTGTTTTGGCCAGGCCAAAGAAAGCTTTAAAAAATATCGGTGACGGTTTCTCAATAAAATATACTCTTCCAAAAAGATACTTATTCAACAAAAATGAAATAAGGGTACATTATTAAAGTTATATGTATAATAAAAATATAGATTTTAGAATTGTTTACACATAAAGACCAGTCATAGATTTTATGTAACGTGATCGTATTGTTTAAAATTAAAGGATTTTTCTAAATAATCATATTGACTACAATGTGTAGTGTGAAATACAGAATCAATATTGGATTGTTTAAAATATCGTTATGTGACCTAGGATATATGGTAAGTGCAAGTTTTATTCATGCATTCAAACCTCAAAACAAATATATTGTGAAATAAACAATTAAGATAAATTATACGATTTTATAAGGATATTTAACTTCATTAATTCAACATTGTTCAACCTCCGAGATCAATCAATTATTTTGTCATAAACATTTATGTTTACTTTATTTATTTGACCTTTACCGTTGTATGTTCAGTCATCGTTTACTTACTTTTTTGTTCATATTATTTTATTATATTACATAATATATAATATTTTAACTTTTCTTCTTTTTATTTTTTTGGTTTATTACAATTACTCTAGTTCAACATTGATCTGTGAAGGTGTTAACATTTGTAATAGAGTGGTTCTTTATTTTGACTTATTGTAAATTAAATTTTTTAGTGAATGCTATCAAGAACTTATGGTAAAATTACGGCAATATCAAAAATGTAATGTAATAATTGGAGGATTGTCAAATGTATTGTTATTTAACGATAAAAATTTCTCAACCGCACTCATCTTTATGCTTACTTACAAATACTTTTATAACTTATAACATTGGTCCAGTAGTTCTTATTCGCAAGTAATTTTTTTAATTAGATCTTTATGGAATAAATAAACTAGTAAATTATGTATGTTTCCATAAAGGAAAAAAATTAATTAACGTATACAACTTTATTTATTGAGTAGAAGAAGGTCTCTTTTAAGATTATTTTTAGCTTTGATATATTACCCTTCATATTAATATTATTTTATTTTGTTTATTAAAAAGTACATTTAACCTCGCGTTCGTTGATCTAAATTTAATAAGTATAATACAAATACAATAGAGAAGTTCGAGTTGAAGTAAATATGTTAGTGGCTTCATTATGTTATCTTATCGAAAGTTACTTCTCAATTCTACAATATATATATATATATATATATTTAAGCTTATCATAATTCTATGTATGAAGAAAGTTAATTATTTTCATTAATTATATAAGAAAAAATTATTATTAATAAGAGTAAATAATTAATAAATCACACTTTATAGATATATTTGTTATATTTGCGACTTTAAATATATAATACCACTAGTCATAGGTATAAAAAAATGTCAAAGGAAATATAATAAAATAAAACACAATACACATATTATTATTTTAAAGGTTGTAGTAGAAAATAAAAATAGCGATTACACTATTATAGCAACCGATAACGATGAGCGTACAAGCAGTTATTTCTAAAAATAAATTACCCAAAGTAATACACTAATATTTTACCGGATGGAAGACGCTGACATTCGACCATACACTGCTTGTGTGTGTATGCGCACTCGTATATACTGAGGGAATCAATTTAAATTTTCATACACGACAAATGTATTATAGCTATTTTACTATTTAAAAATTTGTATTTTAAATAAAATGTACAATTAAACATGTACAATTAATTTTAGTAGGAGGAGCGATCGTCCCTTCGTCCAAGCCTTGAGCCGCCACTTATATTTTATATTTAATATAATAAGAGTATTATGGTAATCGTTGAATAATTAAAACACTTAAATACAATTTTCTTAAAAATAAAATTTTAAAAATGTTGGATTTAATTTTTTGGTTTTTTTTTATGCAAATGAGCATTAAATTTTGAAATCTACAAAAAAGTATCCATTACATTAAAAAAGTAGACCCTTGTCGTAAGTCACTTAGTTTATTTGAATTTTAATTACGGAAAGGTTTTCTATTTTAGATAATTTTACTATTCATTAGAATTTTATATTGTTTCAAATAGTTAAAGTCAAATATCATGATTATAAATTTCTTTTATTAGTCCGTCATACTTCACATTTGGTAATTAGTACCAGGGGAAAATTAAAGTAAATAGAATATATCCATTTCAGATTTTAAAAAAATACATTTTGTGGTACAATTTTTTTTTCATTGAAAAGAAGTTGTAAACATATTTCTTACATATATCCTCCCCCGAAACTAAATTGAAGCATGACTTTAAAAATAATTTGCTATACACAAAGCAATTTTTTGATTAAAATCACTATAAAAAAAAAAGCTTCGATGCAAATCTTTAGATAATGTTCAATTTTAAATTAACTTTGTTATTAGTATTTATGTATAAATTATTTTTTCTTAATAGCTTAAAAGTTGAAAAATTAAATCAACTTATGTTCACATCATTATTTTATTAGTTTCGATACAAAGCTGAGAAGGTATTGGTTTTACTGTAATGTGTTTTTTTTTGTGTCTGTTACCACTTTTTCTCAGCTCTCACCAAACCGATGTCTTTCAATGATACATCAAAAGATCATAAATCGTATCTAGTCGAAGACATTACCCTCAAAAATTAAAAAAATTTCCCGTAAATGGGGGAAACCTCCAAAAAAATTACAAATTTAAAAATCGTTAATTTTCGAAATTTTTTCACTTTTTTTACTTAAAATTGCTATAACTTTTTTAAAAATAACCAAATCAATATAATTTTTTTTTATAGATGCATGATATTACCTTTCATTTGGTATATTTTTTTATAAATCTGACCCTTTGCCTGCTTACAGGAGGGATTAAAAATGATAATTTTTTTACAAAAAATTAACTTTTTAAATATAACTTTTGAAAATGTTCCGGAAAGTCTGATACATTGATATATATCTTAAATTAAAGCAAATGTAATATACTTTATTTTGAAAAAAAAAATTTCGGACTTTATTTTGTCTTCACGGTGAAAACAGACATCAAAGCTAATAAAAAAAATACGATTTTTGTAAAAAATTCTTTTTTATATTTTTAACTTTATAATGCTATAACTTTTTGAAAGATGTATGGATCAATATAGTTTTCTTTTTTATGGATGCATTGTGTCTTTACCTATCATTTGGTATATTTTTTTTTTATATCTGACCCTTTACCTGCCCACAGGAGGGGATTTAAAATGACAACTTTTTTACAAAAAATTAACTTTTTCAATTTAATTTTTGAAAGTGTTCTAGAAAGTCTGACACTTTTATATATATTTTAAATTAAAGCTAATGTAATGTACTTTATTATAAAAAAAAAATTTGACCTCTAGACTTGTCTTCGTGGTGAAAATGGCTACCAAATGCGATTTTTGTGTGAAAATTCTCTATTATATATTTTATATTTTTTACTTTAAAATGCTATAACTTTTTAAAAAATGTATGGATCAATACAATTTTTTTATGAGAAATAATATTTTTTAATAATCTCTTTTTCATTCGACATACTTTATCTTAATCAGGATATTAATAAGGAACTAGCAGATCATGTAGCTTTTGGAATAATCCACCAATTTTTTAAAATTAAACAATATCTAAAGATTTGCATCGAAGCATTTTTTTTCTATAGTGATTTTAATCGCTGTCAGATATCATTATATATGATCCAACTATGCCACGACCCTCCGTGCTGGGTTTTTTTTAACATATCTTAGTAAATTAAAAATTAATTATCGTATATTATAAAATGTTGATTATTTCTATTGACTTAAAGTACTCAATTTCGGAAAATATATTCTTCGAAAAATAAATATACAAAATAATAAATATAAAAATGATTTAATTAATTAAATTTGTCAGTATATGTCTATTTTCAAAAATAATTTTATAATTAAATATATTCTATTATTAAATTTAGTATAAAAATTATAATAAGTAAAGTTTGACATTGCATTATGCATTTATCAGTACATTTTATCAAATTTTCAATAGTTTATTAATCAATATTTTAATTAGAAATATTAATTAGCTCATGATAAATTTGTATTATGTAATGATTTTTTTCACGTGTTAATGATCCGGTTTTGGCTAAAGTAACAAATAATGACATTAAAGTAAAAATACGATAACCTCATAATTGCGTTTTTTGCAATAATGCATTTATAATTAAAAATTTGTAGAGTTAATTCTAAGTACTTATAACGTCCTAGGTACAGCGTGTTTTATTTCATATTTTTAGCGGATATATAAACCATTGGCTCATGTCTATCAGTTCAGTTTTGTGTTCATATCACACGTTGTATACGAAAAATGACTTCGTTACGTAGTATCATGTTGACCACAATTGTTCTGTTTTTATGTGTACTCTCAGTATACTCTTCACCATTATCATTGGAAAAAACGTTATCGTCTAAGCAAGAGTGCATGACCGTATGCTTACCAAAATGTGAACAAAAAGGATATAATCCGAGATGCCAAGAAAAAACACTACATCATTGGTCATGCGAATGTTATGGAGATTTTAAAATGATAAACTCAAACATTGATAAAATGAAACTTCTCAACAGCGATGCATTTGTCATAACCAATAATGTATCGGATTACGTTTCAAATACAAATCCTTCAATAAAAATGCAAGAAGTAAGGTCGAGTTTGAACAATCTTGTTACTATGAATCAAAGATTTACGCAATTCGCAAAGGACGATCAATGCAAAAATGTAGATTTTGATTACGGAATAAACGCAGTGGCTTCCATTAAAGCCAAAGGCGAATTTTGTTATTATGCTTCAGACAATTGGCATTTCGATTTTGATGGTGCACTCACTCTCATTGGAATTTCAGTATGGAATCAAGACGTGCATTTACACCCAGGAACAAATTCTATTTCGTTTAGCCCAAATGTTCAAGTCGCCAAAGCAGATTTTGAAATTGGTTTGTATGACGATTCATTGTGTTTAAAAGTAAAGGGTTCAGGTTGTGTCAGGAATTGGTCATTCAACTGGAATTGTAATGATTTTGACAAAACTCTTCAGTGTTTCAAGTAATTGTGAGATCATCCATAAGTTTCAATGGAACATTTCAATAGACAATAAATAATCATATTATAATTTCATTATTTTTAAATGTAAAAATAACTCAAAAATAAAGTTTAAACAATTATTTTACTCGACATTTTATTATTTTCAAGTAATACAATTCTTTTTTTTTTTTTTTGTGTCTGTGCTATTGGGTTGTAAGTAACTTTTGTTGTACTTTAATTCTTTAAACGAAAAATCAGCTATTAGTAATAACTAAATAGTACTAGTTACTGACAAATTAGTACTGATTAGTAATAGCTATTATTAATGTCATATGAAAAAAAAAATGTTTAAAACCCATTTTTTCCAGTACTTTTGTAAGGCATTATAAACTTAAATACTTCGAGGCTAAATTTTAATTCTTTAGCTTAAGTTAGTTTAAATATTTATCAACACATAATAAATATATTTAATACTTAAAACTAGGGTCCTGATTTAAATGATTATGCCACCAAGATTTAGTAGCCATCCTAAAGGCATTTATTAGTCTTATGTCTCATTCTGTTTTGACATAATTATACTGATGTTTTCTGAAATGCTAATTCAAAAGTACTTATGATATTGATCAATCATTTTGCGAATTAATAATTTTTTTATCATTTATGTACACATTTACACATACTCTATATACAGAGCGTTCTATGACATAAATATTTTACTTCTACGGGAAAATTGCTATTGTCACTAGATGTCACTACATGTTCAATTCACTTGCAGTTTAATGAGCTGTATGAGTCTATTGATAATATGTTAACATATTAAACGGTTAATCACAATATTCACTTTTAAAATAAATTAGATTAACTAAATGTTTATCTAATTAATGCGTACATAAGTTACTCAAATTATGTTTTTTACTTGAGATAACAAAAAAAAAATTTTAATATTACAACTGTTTTCAAACAAAGAAAAAATATAGATTAAAAATTGTTGCTCTTTCCAATAATGTTAGACTTAGAATATTAGTTTTTAGTCGGTCCTATTATTCTAATACTTTAAATGAGTTTGTCTCTACCAGATCGTTTGTTCCACAACTTAATAACTAGCCTCTATAAAGCATATTTATTTATTTATAGTACATAAAAGTTTTATTTTCTAGTTTTAAAATGCTTTCCTTAAAAAAATTGTAAAAAAAAAGAGTGGGCAGTATATTATAATCTAAATATCCAATTATAATGATTCGACATAATTTAATTAAATTTTACTATCTTACATTTTTAATTAATTTTTCATACGCAATAGTTCTGTAAAAATGCAAAATTTGTTTGATTAAAATTTAAAAAGTTTATTGATACAATTCATTGTTATATAAAAGAAATTATAAAATGTAATGACTATACAGTTTATAATGAGTTTCAAATATTATGTTTAAAACGCGCGTGTGTGTTCCCAAAAAACATTTGTCTTGTTGGGAAACTAGTTATTGTTGTGAATTCAAATGGGTGGTATATACTAGTGGCAATTGAACCGGTGCAAGGCGTGTAAGTCGCAACCGAATCGTTTTCATTTAATTAGTTTCAAATTAAATTATAAATCAAACTTATTATTTAATTGGAAATACAACGACAATGCCCTTCGGCTATCACGATCGAAGCGGCAGCAATAACACAAATGTGAAAATACAATAATAACATATTTGTCAGTCGAACACCGACTTAGATTTGATTATATGGGCTTTCTTGTGTAATGATACTATCACTAATACTGCTGCATACACTTACGATATTAAACATTGGTCGCAGGGTGCTACCTAATTTCTCTGAACATTCGATTAATATTATTTTTTAGACCGCCGTAATAGTAATAAAACGAATAGCTCGTACCTTCGATATCATTAGCGCACATAATAACATACTGTATGTAATAAAACTTAATATAATAAATAACCCTGTGAGGGAGACTAACACCCAGGTGTCGTGATGTTGTACAAACGGTTTTATGAACTCTTTTTTTTATTATTATTATTACTTTTTATTCTGAAGGAGAATAGTATATCCGAGAAATGACTACACGTATACAATGGTGCATAGTCAGTCTTATTCTTCTCTGAGAAGACGTTGTCGTCGTCAACGGTCTTGATGCCGCTACAGTCAAGACCTCAGGTATAATGTCAGAAAGCACTACTATGGCACATTAAAAAAAGCGGCACTATTAAAAATCAATAAATATCTTCAGCGCGGGCTGCTGTCTACAGAGGCTGTAAATCATATTCTTCTGTCATCGTGAAGAAGGTGGCGGTGGTACTGAAGCAGGATAACAATGTCCGTGTTCCCTAATCGGTCTGGCGCAGACAAAGCGGAGGTGGCAGTGGCCAAGGTGGACATGAAAAAACGAAACATAAATTATACCTGCAAGTGTGTAAATCGAGTTTTTTTACACCAAAAATTATGCGTTCAACAAATTACGCTCACTGCAATGAACTCGTATCAACTGATACGACCATGCAAATAAAAACTGATATTTTTCTCACGACTTGCACCGGTCGACCACTTCACTGGCCATTTAGTAATTCCATTATTAATACGATTTTACGATTGCAATAATATTTTTTATGGGTGCCATTAGTAATTCAATACACTCGTGTTAAGTAACAGTAGCCCAATTGTAAAATCGGCATTTAAATTTTTTATTAGAGAAGTATTCAATTATAATATTTCAGTTGCAAAATTTCTCTGGCCTATATAAAAGAATTCATAAAGATACGTGAAACTGATTTCATAAGTTAACTTTTTAATAAATATTACTTGTAAGTAACCATTGAACCATTAATACATTTATCAGAAAATAAAAACATTTTTATATTTTATCTATTGATACAAAAAAATTTATTTTGAAACAATATATCATTTTTGTTAATGACCAAAATTTTATGTCATTAAGAATTCATAAACAATAAAAATAATTGCTTTGTTGCTATTTAGGCTGTTCCTCATCTTCGTCAAATTAGTCACTGAAATATATCAAATAATATTTATGCTTCAATAAAATTTTTGTTCAACAAGGTATACAAATTTTATCATTAAAATATCTAATCCCACAAAAAAATATTGAAGTTATAACCAATTCTGCTAGATAATGATGGACCAAGTTGAATCTTTTTTAAATTGATGTCAACTAGACCGACCAATTAAACTGAATAAAATATTTTGAAAATTGATACATTACAAAATAAGAAATATAAAATTTTATAATAAAATGATCAAGTCTCTTGATTAATTATGTATTTTTCCATATGGAAATATACATATGAAAATACATGTGTAACATAAGACAAAAAAAAACATTCATAAAAAATATTTATTTTAAGAGAAGTCTAGTGGCTAATATATAAAAAATAACTCCGCATAATTAAAAATAACACTCTATAATAATAACTAATCGTAAGTGAAAATTTATGTGCAATTAGGTGTGACTACAATGTACTAAGGTTCAAATAACTATCAATTTTAAGCGTGTACAGATAAATTATAACTGGAGCTGTGAATTATATGCATTTTTGAATTTTGTTTAGCCATGTTAAAAAGTCCCAAGATTATACAACTTTGTCGTAGGATTATATAGTAACGCAGAAATATTTTTCGTTTTAAGGGGAGATTATCCCCCCCCCCCCCCACAAAAAATAAAAAAAAAAAAAAATACCAAAAATG